ATACCAAGCATCCTCCAGCACCCACTGAAAGCACCAAGCTTTCTGCCCTGCCTGGTCYTCACAGCAACATCCAGCCTTCAGTTTCAAAGCAGCTTTGCTGAGGCCAGGAMGAAAAACCAGGCAGCAACAGCCTCGCTTTTGTCAGGGACAGCCCCCAAACTGAACTGTCTCTGTTTTGGAAAGGGTGGCTTATCGGGGTGGCCCTTGTCCAGTCCCACACCCCACAAGCTGGGGCAGCACACACACACACCACCCTGTCTGCCCTTGAGGTGCAAGCTGCACAGCTGAATTGTCAAAACATCCGTGCTGTAGTGCCAGCAGGACTGGCTGGGAGCAGTGGCAGGTGGCCCTGCACCCATGGGTGCTCGGTGGCACGGTCACCAGCCTCACTTAGCTCATGGCTGGGGAGGCTGTGCTTTGGCTTGCAGCTCACTAAAATTAGGGATGCCAGGAGCAGATAAAAATACAGCCCCAACTATGTGAAACCTTTAGGGAGGCAGCCAAAGAGCACGCTGCTGTATGTCTGACCCCGCCGAGCTGCTGCACAACGACTAAAGCTCCAGGGCAGCATTTTTGAAGCATTACCTGTGAAAAACAGCTCTGAGGGAGTGACCTTTGGGTGTTCCATATTTGGGGACTTGCCTTTGAGTCCAAGGATCTCGAGGAGGGGAGGTTCAGCCTGTCCAAGCAGCTCAGGTGGTGGAAAAGCATGGTAAGGTGAGACCAACACGTTCTCCTTCAGTCCCCACTGCCAGTAGGGTGACTTTTCTAGTGGCAGCTGTTCATCAGGATTCTAGCCCTGCTCTTTGATCCTCACAGTGCTTTAGGACAGCCTGAATTATGGAAAAACCTAGGACATTATTAGTGTGGTATGCAAGGAGTTGTTAGTGGGGACAGCATTAGGAAGGAGAAATAACACTCTGAAACTGCCCAGTGTCTCAAATATCAAAGAATCCAACTATAGCGTGCAGGTGGGAGTCCTGCATAATGATTCAAAACTTTTGGGGGAATGCACTAAACACTTGCAATCTCTTCCTGCTGTTTCTGAAAATAAAAACCTAACATTTTGGGATATAAAATCAGCATCATTTCATCAACCAGGTTCTGRCCATCAGCATCAACAGCAGCATTAAAGAGAGTAGAGACAAGCAGCAGAGAAGCGTAGATTGCATGAGGGAAGTTTCCTTGTAATCTCCTGCTGCTCTTCTCCCTGCATTGCTGGAGTTTTGTTCTTCCTCCACTGCTAAACAGCAAAACAGAAAGCTCCCCCTGGTTAAGAGTTTATTCCTAATGGCTTTCAGAGATACCCAAATGTCCCCAGCCCCCTTCCTTGCAGCCTGAGCAGCTGGGGAAGATGAGCCTTTCTGTCTGTGGGAGCTCTGGGCAGGTGCTCTGGGCAGAGGGGTGGGAAGAAAATCCAGGCCATAATGCCATAATGTCACCTCACAATGAGAACTGACCATGCTGAGACAGTCACCCCTCCACCCCCAATTTTAACCGTCTCTAGGGAGTGTTGTGTGCCCTTCAGCAGTAAAACTGAACCAAAATGCAAGGTTTGGCACAATCAGTGCAGTCTGCAGCTGGAATAGGAGCACGGTGAGGCAGAGAGTGACATTTCTGCTGCTGTRTAACCTAGGAATTCAGGATGACTATATGGGACTTCCTAAATCTCCCAMATCTTCCCAGCATCACCCCCAGGCTCAGGCAGGTGTGGTGAGTGTGAACTGAGATGTTGGGCAGGGAGCTGTGCCTTTCCATACCCRTTATTCAGAGTGGCTGCTGACACCATCCAAGCTGACAGGGTTCTTGTGTACTCAAGCTTCACTTTGGGCTGGACCTCTCACACATCCCAGAGGGCCATTCACTCCCTCATACCAAATTTAAATATGGTTATTACCTGAGGGATATGGGAGGAAGAAAGATTGCTGCCAAACTCATTTTTCCCAGCATCGCACAGGGCACAGTTGGGATCTTATGGGTGAAAGTCTGCATTGCAAAGGCTTCATGCAYATGAGAATGAGGCTGCAAAAATGTGTGTGGGACGTGAGCTTACAARATTCTTGGCTTTTTGCTCATGCTCTCAGCCCCCTCTGCCTGGCCAAATCTCCTGCTCCACCTCAGGGACTGTGTGATCAGTTAGGTCCAGTTCTTCCAGGGTAGTTTCYACCCTCCATGCCCCCATGCAGCTGTTGAAGCTAAATTACATGCTCTGGAGATAGAGKCTGACACAAAGGCAAGGGCTCTGGCTGGCCACGACTTGGAGCAATATGAAATTAAAGGCAGGAGGAGGAGGAGGGGCTGTACTCTTAGATTACAGATGCCTCTGTCCCAAGGTCCCGAGCCAAGAGGATTGTCAAGATTAGAAACATTATCTGCATTCAAATCCCACTRGCATTATGGAATCAGAAAATACTGTAAGGGGATCTATAAATGCTTGATACTGTAATGAGTAGGGGGCAATTAGCCAAAYTGCTGTGCCCCTGGCATACTCTGTATTTTGCTGCCTTTTGGGCTTCAGATATAGGTGTGGGAGTATATCATCACCCGTGCATGGGTCAGACTCACCTGCTACAGTGGAAATCAGGGAAAGTAAGGTCAGGAGCAACACTCAGCCCCTGCATAGCTTACACTCATAAAAGCCACCATGAACATCCTGCCAAATCTCCTGCCTCCAGTCTCTGCCCCAGTGGAAAGGGCTCCTGAGAGTCTCATGTTGCACAAAGAGCTGCCTGTGGTGAGACCCTGCTCTGGGGGTGAGTGCAAGCTGTGCTGCTCTCCTCGTTGTCTCATTGGCATGAAGGTCCCAGCAGAGGAGGCAGCTCCCAGCTCTGTGCCCTCAGGAACGCTCACATAGCACACATGGGTGCTCTCCTATATGCCCAAACTGTTGCACATCTCTGGGGATGAGCCTCTCCAGAGGAAACCCTCCAAACTTTCCTACCCACCAYAAACACACCTGCAGGAGACAGTCTGGCTAGACAGGCCATGAAACACCAACAGGCACACCTCCAGCACTGCTGAGCRCTCCCACAGTCTTGCACGAAGAGGCTTTCATCACATCACCCACGTTTTCTTGACACATTTACTCTTCTYCAGCAATCTTCAATTCTCACAGCTACACGGCTGCACCCACACCTCTCTGAAGAGCTGCTCTGTGTGTGCTGCACGCTGACATGCTCGACTCCTGATCCATGCCTCCTCTCCTGCAAACATCCCTGCTCACACCCAACCACTTGTAGCAGGTGTTGCTGCTTTTCTGCACATTTCTGACCTTCAAACACCCACAAGAAACCCWAACCACCTTCCAAGAACTGCTGGGYTTAAACTCCYCTGACTTTGTCTGGCAGGYAGCTGATATMACTGTAAGTAATTGAATCAAGTATGGACTGGACTGAACGTGACTGATCAAATCTTCTTGCCTTGGTCTATCCTCTGGTCACAAAGTAGTCACAGTCTGTGCTGGTTGGTGGAGTTTGTGTCCTCCTGGAGAGCATTGGGACAGGACTGAGGATGTGTATTTTGTAGAAGGGAGAAAAAAACCTGCGTTTGCCATCTCTGCCCTTTGCTCAAGCAAGAGCAAGATCCATGAGCCCTGATCACCAGGATAGCTGCCACCATCTCCCAGGATTTCAGGGACAGGGAGCTGGCCCTGTGACACCACGCTGCACAGGCGAGGTGGCCGCCCCACCACTTTCACTGCCCGACGCCTGCAATCACCGCTCACTCTCGCAGCCTCCTGGCACAGGCAGAAATATATTTATAGCAGGGGAGCCAARGGGCCACGTGGCCACGGTGGCAGCACTGCTGGGTGACATTCAAACTGGCTTGGAGTCTGGGGGAGTGAGCCAAAACGAGCCAGGGGGGCGGGGGAGCCTCCTCATAAATCATCCCACCATCTCGGGCCGTGGCTTTCCTTCTGCCCCCTCCAAGCACTGACAGCTGTGCCCTAATAGGGRCATTCCTGCCCCAGAGGCTCCTGACCCCTCATCTCCATCATCTCCCACCATCCGGCAGGGCTGGGAGGAGGAACAGCAAGAAGACTGTCAGCATCAGAGGCATTTGTGGAGCAGGAAGGGAGAGGGAGGAGGAGGAGGAGGCTCTTACAGCTGCTTGGTGCTTCTCAGAGCATCATTACTGCCTTGTAGGGTCTCTAAAATACTTGTGGTGGGGCTGTCAGTCACCCAGTGCATAAGTGGATCCATTTACCAGGGTCACTTCATCTCTAGGAGCCAATTTGGAATTCACAGGGTCCCACCAGAGGGCCCTTGCAGAGCGTCTCTCCTTTCCTCACATATCTATTTTCACAAAACAGGCAGGAACTCGATATCTCCAAGAGGCCCCTTCGTCAAAAACGGTGGGAACAGGATGCAGTGGTTTTGCAAAGCTGCAAGAAGGTGAACATGAGCATGGCTGGGCCTAGATGCATTTCTTTARCAAAAACAGAGGACCAGGGTTACTGAAGCCTGGAAAGGAGCCATGWCTTGAAGCATTTTATAGGAAAAGGACCTTGCTTTGGCCACCCCATCACATGCATGAAGAAAGCATGTTGCTGCAGCATCCTGCACCCACTGCTGCCTGGCACCATGCACTTGAGAGTCAAAATGTCCTTGGTGCCCACATGTCACACTGTCCTGCAGGAGGCCACCCAGGTGCTGCAGAGAAAGAGGGTTTTTCTTCGTGTTGGTGGCACAGGACTTTGTTCCAGCCATCCCCCTGTTCTGGCATCCCCAGTGGAGTCAGGAGCCCTCTCCTGAGGGCAATGAACAGCCCCTGGCACTGCCAGCAAACTCCTGCTGCCACACAATGGGAAGAAACACAACCCTTGTGACCTCTGGGTTATCTCAGCAGAGAGGCAGCATGTGACACATCCCAGCCATYGGTGCTGCTCAAAAGCAGAATATGGGTCACTTGTGTGTCATGTCAYWCTAGCAGGGCACGATGCCCTTTAGMTACCCYGTGGTGTTAATGCTGCTAATGCTGGGCTCTGCTTCCTCCCACAGCTGGCAGCTCAGGTCCTGGAACCCAGGAGCATTGGCTTTGGGATGGTGGACTCCAAGAAGGATGCCAAGCTTGCCAAAAAATTAGGTRAGTTCCCAGATGTGATATCTCTGGAATAGCTTGGAGAGACTGTGGGAGTGATGTCCAACAGGCAACCCCACAGAGGACAAATCCTCATTACCAAGGTGGGGAGGATGATGGTGGCACTCAAACACTGACCATCTGCCCACCCCAAAACTGGCAGTATCGAGTGGAGGGATGGAGGTGAGGATGAGAGATGAGCCAAGACCCTTCCAGAAAAAAAAATGTGTCTGATAAACCAAACCAAACCCAACGAAAAAGAAAGGCAATTCATGCTGTCATGATGTCAGGGTGCAAGTTCACAACTTTCTGTTGTGAACTTTCCATTGGTGCCATGGAGTAAATTCAYGCTCTTCCTACACAGAGACAGGACCAACACAGCAGTGCAGAACCAGAACATACAGGGAAACCACACAGTCCCACAAATGTCACCAGCCTCATGACAGAGTGACCCCTGACAACAAATGGGGCAGCCAAAGCCTTGCAGTAGTTTGGCAGCCTGGTGCCAATCATTCAGGTTTGTTCCCCAGAGCAAAAGGGGAAGCTTCTCTAAAGATGGAAGGCTGTGCACTGCCCACCCCGGGACACAGCTGCCTTCCAGGGACTGCCAATCCCTTCATATTTTAGCCCACAAAGTAATATGGGAAAACTGTGCCACATCATTAATACAACAGCACACAAATGTACCACTAAACCTGCGGTTTAAGCATACTGGACTGTAATTTTCTTTCTTAAATTAGAGGCTGTGAGAGCTCATGGGAGCTAAACTAAAGACAAGAGCTTYTGCCTCTCCAAGAAGGAACAAACTACCAACCACCTTGGCCAGTGGCACCCTGCCATCCTGCATTGCAGGAGGCCAGTGCTGTTGATTTTGGAGCCTCCAGCGAGGTTCTGTGGCACTCAGCCCTCAGTCCAGTGATACAGCACTGAAATCTGTCGCCCTGCGGTCTGTGGCATCTCTATCATTGGTTTCTGACCCTTTTGCCAAGGCCAGCTAAGCCTCAAAAAGTTTGAAGCTCACTTTCAGGTCACTGGTGACGTTCACATAGCTCAGCCTTCKCTGGACAGTGAACACAACCCGAATYAAAATCCGTTTTCCATATAGTGACAGGTTGTTAAAATCTGAGCTGTCAGTTAGAGCCCAGTATTTACTGCAAGATAGACAGCCGAGCTAAAACAAGTTCCTGGTGCAGAATTTGTCCAACTGAGACCAAACTGTGACCTGAATGAAAAGTTCAACATTTGGGAAGCAGTTAGCACCAGTTCTGGCTGAAGTCTGTCCCCCACATCATGAAACATCAGTCAGGGAATTGCTTGCTTGGGTTGTTTCTAATTGAACCAACACAGAGAACTGGCAATTGCATTTTCCCAGGAGGAATTGCTGGGATAACAAGCAAGACACTCTGCACTTAACATGCTTTTAATGACATGTTAACCACAAATTGTTTCCTCCCTTCTTTCAGGCTTGCTTGAAGAGGGAAGTCTCTATGTGTTTAAGGATGAGCGGTTGATTGAATTTGAYGGGGAACTGTCCGCAGATGTCTTGGTGGAATTCCTCTTGGATGTAAGCATAAGCTCACAACTAGATAAAACCTTTCTGAGAAGACTTTGCAATATTCAGTTTGCTAAAAGAAATAAGTGTATCTTTGTTGGAAATTTTATCCCTGTTTATTGTCCACTGGTAGAGATGGAATTTGACAACTTCCCCAAWATGTGTCTGGCCACGAGCTCCCAGAAAAGCTTTTACCCTTCTATGCCACTACCCACTTACATCTTAGAGACATCCTGTCCTCTTTCCTGTTTAAGGAGTATTTGGCAGTAAGCAACAATCCCTGAGCTGGTCACCCACCTCAGTTAGCAAGTGTGTGTGCAAACACTTCATCATTTGCAAAATCTTCTACGCTTTTTTTTTTTTTTTTGTCTTAAATGAAGAAGAGCTATTTTCAAAAAAAAATACCCAAGAAGTAGGATTCTCATTGAACAATTAAAAAGGCTTTTGTTGCAAACTATTTGCCCATTTCTAGACACGTATAACATAGTGTATCTTCAGTGAGCTCCCCAAATTGCACTGCCTTGAGTGAGAGGAGATGCAAGGCCTAAGAACAAAATGCTCACCTTTGAGCCTAAAGRCAAAAGATATCCTACTTCTCAGGCTCCCTAAAACCAGCTTCAATTGCTGTCCCTTACCTCACACCCCAGTATGTCCCTCAGCATCCATTTGGGTTACCCAATCCCCTATCAGCCTCCCTCTTGATGCTTCCACCTCTGCAGTGATCCCATTAACATCTCCTTTCCAAGGTGACCTGCTTCCCTGGGCTCCTCACATTCAGGCACAGAGCTCTGAGTARCTTTCCAACAGCAGAGAAATTTGGGTGACCTCTTTCTCCCCGCTCAGGCTGCTTGTGACCCACCCTGCCAGGCATAGGTTGGTGCTGCAAATCACTGCGTTACCACATGCATTTGTCATGGCAGTTGCTGGAAGACCCCGTGGAGGTCATAAACAGCAAACTGGAGCTTCAGGCCTTCGACCAGATCGAYGACGAGATCAAACTCATTGGCTACTTCAAGGGAGAAGACTCAGAACGTAAGATAAATCTGTTCCTCGTGGGGCTCAGAGCCTGCCTGGTATTTCTGGGGTTGTTGTGCATGAACATGAAGGGTGTTGGGGTACGTGGCARGGTGTGACAGAGTGAAAATTGCAGAGGATGTGAGGGTTTGCAGGTGAGTTTCTGCTGCTGTAATGCATGAGCCCATTCCTACAACAGCAGGGACCCTTCTGCAAGGTGTCTGCTGGCAAGAGGAGAGGGTCACAAACTCAGTTTACCCCAAAATCAGCTGAGGTTACAGTTACACCGAGAGAAAAAGTAGCAGGAGCAAAGCACCCCTTTTGGTGAGCAGGGAGCCCAAAGGATCAGGGAGGGAGGGAGGGAAGGGGGGAGGTGAAGGAAAAGGGGRTACACATTAAATACTAACTGAGCAGGGCCCTTTGGGGCAGCCTGGTGAGGCACTGACCTGCTCCTTCTTGCTGATCCCCAAAACTGGGAAGAGGCTGGTCCCATACCCTGAGGAAAGTGCAACTCAGGGGCCATGCTGAGCAAACCCAGCTTTCACAAGAATAGAGAAATCCTCACCTGAGAAGTTCCCTGTTCCCCTGCAGTCTCTTGTGCCAGCCCTGAGTGCTCTCCTGCTATCCAGGCATCCTGCCTTTAGCAGGAAAACAGGTATTCCTACCTGAACAAGAACATCTCACCAGGGCTGCTGAATGCAACTCTCCCCTCAGCTTTCTCAAACTGGCTGCAGGACAGCTGGGGCAGGGCTGTGACCCTAAAACTGTTCAGTAATAGCTGCTTAAAAGAAAGGTTGTTTGTAAAAATGTTGTTGTAAAATCTCCTGCCAGGCTGAGAGCATCTTTCCTGAGCTCTGAACTCAGGAGGACCTGATAGGAGTTACAGCCAAAATTTACCTGGTTGGTACCCCGTGCTCCTGCAGCGGGGGAAGCATGCCTGGTCACAGCTGGTTTAAGGAATGGCACCAATCATTAATGCTGGAGCAACTCCGTGTGTTTCCCAGGCTGAACTACCCCTGGATTTGCTTCACAGGGCTGCTAATTTCAGCCCCAGTTAARGGTGGCATGCTGGGCTCTGCAGCTTTTCTGAATGGTGTGGAATGAAATCATCATTCCACATGAAATCATCCTTTTTTTTTTGTAAATCCTGGAAGGGTGGAAAAAACACTGAGCTGCCATCTGATGGAGTTTGCAGTAATTTATATTTGTTCTTCCCCAATAACTTCTGGGCTGATCAGAGTGTGGCCAGCTGTCTGAAAGTTCTTCTTCATTCCCCTTTTCTCCTTCCAGATTTCAAGGCATTTGAAGAAGCTGCAGAACAATTCCAGCCSTACATCAAGTTCTTTGCCACCTTTGACAAAGGGGTAAGCATCCACCAACCTCCATGGGATCTCACATATGCCACCACCTGTTTCCTGAGAGCTCAGGAGGTTCCCAGACTTATTGTCAGATTTATTGTCTGGTTTCAGCTTCTCATTTTCAGCCTTCCTGGACTTTGTGGTGTCGGTCTGCATGGATAATTTGGCCCCAGTGTGAGATAAAAGGCCATTTCTGCAGGGTGGAGGCAGGACCTTGGGTTTGGAAACCAGCCCCTCTAGGTCTGCAGGGCCTTCTGTCTGGCTTTGCTCTATCCCAGTGTTTGACAGCAGCAGTGTAGGGGGCATCAGTGGGTTTGTAAACAAAGAAAGATCCATTCTGTTTGTGGGTCACCCCTCACTGAGACAGAGAGAGAGCAGGAGCCTTGATCTCAGCTCTGCCAGGGTAGGCAAGGAGGCACRTCAGGCTCCCTCACTTGTGACTGCACTGCAACAGGTTGCCAAGAAGCTGGGCCTAAAGATGAACGAGGTGGACTTCTATGAGCCCTTCATGGATGAGCCYGTTCACATCCCTGACAAGCCTTACTCAGAGGAGGAGCTGGTGGATTTTGTGARAGAGCACAGAAGGTATGTGGCACACAGGATGCTCCTGGACAAGGGAAGGGGATAAAGGTGTCTGTCATCATGACCTCAGCTCTCTAGGGCATCACCCTCAAAAAAAATTAGGATGACGACCACCTTTTGCTGATTTGCTCACCCAGGTTTGGAATTGTGCTGGTGTTTTCCTACTTTCAGAAGTGTGATATCTGCACAGCAATCAGAGCTCACCCCAAGGGAGCTGTGATAACACAGCTTCCCCCCTCCTGCTCTTCCTCCTCCCTGGTTAGTCCTCAGTCTAAAAGCAGTGAGACTTGAAGGCAGTGGAGAGTGGAATCCTTGCCCTAATTATGTAAACTTTTAATTTAGGTCTGTACAGAAAATTATCCTCTCCAAGGCCTCTCAAACCAAATCCAAATCCTGTCCAGTCTCCTCCTTTCCAAAACCAKCTTTACTCATGGGTGTATCCCTGTCCTGATGTCAGATATGTCTGGAGGCAGCTCTGAGCTCAAAGGAACCACAAGGGACAAAGAGGCTCCTGCTGACCGTAGGCACAGAGAAGGCACAACTCTTATGGCTGTAGGGATGGTGATGAGCACCTTGGGTGTTTGATCAACTCAGCAGGAGCTGTGGCTGCTCGTGCTTTCTGCCATCAGGTTTAATGCCCAGTTGTTTAGGGACTCAGCTGCCATAAAAGCCTGGAAGTCACCAGAGAGGCTGCTCCTGTGTGAAAACACAGGGTTGAGTGTAAGGGCACAGCTACCCAGGAGGGGCTGTGTCTTCACATCCTTGAAAACACCTCCCAGGAGGGTGACTCGGGCTACCTGCTGCTCCTACAGCTGCATTTCCCAGCAGGGAATCAAGGGACAGGCTCCAGGTTGTGGTGGGAACCTTCATCCTCTCCACAGAAGGTCAGGAAGGCAGAGCTCAGCACCATGGAGTGACTGATCCAAGGCTGCACAGATGGGTGTCCATCTGGCCATGGTGGCCACTGCCACTCCAAGGTCTCAGCCCACATTTCACTCTCAGCTGCACAAACACAAATTTTGTGGCACAGTCCTCTGGGCTGATGCCTCTTTCATGTGCAAAATACTGGGGTTGGATGCCCACTACTCTGCAATTGTGGTGTAGCAACATGAGGGCTGAATTCTGCTCTCTCTAACTTATCCAAACCCCACTTTCCTCACTCCCTCCAACACAGGAAAGTATCCAGAGTAATAACCAAGGACAAGCTTAAATACATAATAKGCATTCACCTGATAAAATCTCTAGTTTTGGACCATCAACAATGAGAGGACTTGCTGGTTCAGAAATTGTATCTCTGATCCTGTGTTTAGTGGCTATTTCTTCAATTTCTATAATTGTTTTTACTTTATTTCTACTTTGGTGCTGAAAGTWYCAAATTGTAATGAGTTCAGCAGCTSAATTATGCATTGCATCAAAAGACYRTTCTTMTTTMTTTAGYTTAYRCCTGCTMCATAATAATTTCTCTGAACACCTACTCCTGTCTTAAGAGGAGCAATAAATAGYACTTTAGGTAATCTGTAGGGATAGAATCACAGAATATTCTGAGTTGGAAAGGACCCACAAGGATCATCAAGTCCAACAYGTAAGCGAATAGCCTGTGCAGGGATCAAACCACAACCTTGATGTTATTAGAACTTTGCTCATGTTCTAAGATATTTACTTTTTATTTACCATTCCCAATTTATTTTTTTTTAATACCTGCTAAATCTCTCTTCAGTCACCTCTTTTACAAGACAAAAAATTCTTACCTATTTAACCTTCATCAAATAGAGGTTATTCCACACCTTCACTCCACACTGCCATGCTTCCACRTGCCTTTTTCAGTTGTCCATGTGATTTCCATGACAGGATGACCAGAACCACACATAAACTCTCTGTGGAGGTTTGCAGTGTAGCTGTCCACTGCCATAATGTCTGTTTTACTCCTTGGCCATTTCCCAACTGTTTGCAACACTCTTCTTGCCAATGCTTTTTTAATTTGTGTCACCTGGGCTACTTTCCTGAGAGGGAATAATTCATTACAGCTGATTTAGAACCCACAGTTGCACCTGTAGAATCAGGGTCAGTTTTTTGCAAGTGTTTTTCTTCCTATATGTCTGTATCATGCAGACACTCAAGTGTCAGGAGWTCCTCTGTATGAACTCATTGTCAGGCCTTTGCTAGTTGCCAAAGAGTTGGATATGATAAGAAAATGCTGCCATATTCCTATTTCCTCTCTTTTTCAGATTGTGTGAGAATATATTATGCATAAGATCATGTTGAAGAATGTGCTGTGAATCTTAACTGGTTAATTCCCCCTGCCATGAAAACTGATCATTCATCTCTGCCTTTCAATGTTATCAATCCACACAAGAATCCCCTCCTCTGATCCAACTGCAGCTCAGTTCTGTGGCTCCTCAGGTCCTTTAGGGACCTCTAAAAAAAAAAATCCCTCATTCCCATGGTTCTGGTGGCGAGGCAAACTGAAGTGACAGGTTACACATCTCACTTATTCCACCTGGTTTGTTCTGGCAACACACTGCCACTCCTACCAATCTGCTCTAAAACCTTCCAGACTGACACTTCCCTTTGCAGCACATCCTGGAGCAGGTCAGCTAGGGAGAAGCAGATGTGCAAAATATGACTTGTGCTATGCCTTGTGTTCCTTGGGTGCCCCTCTAACACCCCAGTCAACTCTCAGCCTGCCAGGCTTCCTGACACAGATGTGTCTGAAAATATTTGCTTTTTACCTTTTATCCTTTATGAACTACTTCTCAAAAAAATTTTTTCTTTGACAAGTCTTTGGGTTTACATTTTCTTTCCAGTGGTGGTTAGGATCTAAATCTTCTTCTTAGAGTTTATTCTGCCTTCTTTGCTTCAGCAGAGGTGGGAAGGATTTCTGTGTTGAAATTGTGCTGGGGTGAAACAGGAGAAAGGAGGGGCAGAGCACGTTAGGAATGTCCCAGGGACTGAAAAACAAAAGTGAATGGATCACCCCGTGCTCTCAGCACAGGCAGGACTGGCTGCCTTGTGAGGGGCTAATTCATGAGCACATCCCAGGACAGAGAGGCATCTCATCTTGCCAAGGAGGAATGGTGGCTGCAACGACTCCAGTGGGGCAAGGGGCAGGGTTTTATCATCATAAATAAAGGCATGAACTGACCTACAGTGCCCCCATGTTTGCATTCAAAATGTGGTGGCTGACTCCGGCTGATTCCATCCAAAGGTGGCATGGTGAATTTTTCTCTGAGTCTGTGTCATTGTGGCAGTGCTGGATATATCTCAAAGAGCATTTCTGTCTTCCTTTCAGGGCCACCTTGAGGAAGCTGCGCCCAGAGGACATGTTTGAGACGTGGGTAAGCACGTGCTGTGGGAACCATTGTATCCCCTCCAAGCTTCTAACAAGAAACTGCTCCTCAAGAGCTCTGGCTGGGCAAAAWATTAACTTTTCTTCCTTGTGGGGCTGCTTTCTCTCTTCTGGACAAAAGGGAAAGCCTTGGCTGTGGTGCTGAGTGCCTGAGTTCCAGCAATGTGCTCAAACACTTTGCTCAGCAGTGCTGGATGGTTGGGCTGGCTCCCTCCACCAAGGGAAGAGGGAAAGTCAAGCAGTGTGCAAGGTCTGTGCAGGGATCCTGCCCAAGGATGCTCCATCCCAGCTAAGGGACATCAGTGCTGGGTGATTTCCATGGCCTGCTCACAGGGTGAGCTGCAGGGATCATGCAGATGTCTCATGGAAAATCACAGAATCACAGACTGKTCTAKGTTCAAAGGGACCTTAAAGATCATCKARTTCCCACCCCYCTTCCACCAGACCAGGYTGCTCAAAGCCCCATCCCACCTGACCCTGAACATTTCCAGGGACTGGGCATCCACAACTTCTCTTCATCTTCTCTGTTCCAGGATCTCATTACCCTCACAGTAAATATAATATCCTTCCTAATATCCAATCTAAATCTATCCTCTCTCAGTGTAAAGCCATTTTCTCTCGCCCTGTCACTACACATCCTTGTAAAACTACAATTCAAAATGCAAGGGAAGGCAGGCAGCACAGTTAATTTATGGATTTCAAAGCAGACTGGGCATTGATTGCACTTCTCACGGTGCAAGAAAGCTGCAAATCAGCAACTGTGAAGAACTAACCAGCATTTTGGCCCTTATCACGCACAGAAGACTCTCAGAGTCTGCAGGGGTGGGGAAGAAGGGAAGGATGAAAATGAAAGAAAAATTGTGTACAACAAATTATCCCCTCATTGTGAATGCATATGGTGTTAAAAGCCAGTCTGGGRCCCTCAAGTGCCAGATGAATKCTGAAAAACAAAGCWGAACAGGTGCTTTACAGACACTAARGAAGATGCAGTCATTCYTCCAAAAGGCTCAATGCATTTMTAAMATCATTCAGATGTCACTCTTCTTGGCTGTGTAACACRAAACACTGTGGGACTCCAGAGTGGCAAAAACCTTGGGAGTCTTTAATACAGCAAGGCAAGAAGTAATAAAACTGAACCAGGAGTTATGAGTCACTGAGGCACGATAGCTTTTAATTCTGTTTTGAAATAGAGGTTCTGTACAGAACACAGCTTCCAACATCCACCAAACCCCCTCCAAGGTTTTTTAATGGAGCTTCAGTGAGACAAAAATTTCACATGCAGTGGTTTTGCTTTCATACTGAACATATTCTAAAGTAGCCTCAGGAAAAGTGGGAATTCACAGGTGGGCTGCTTGCTCAACCAGCAGCCTGGGAATGCAGATCTTGCCTCTGCTAGGAGCAGTGGACTCCTACCTACAGAAGACAGGGGGCTGGATTCTGATCTTGCTGCAACTTCACAACTTCCTCAGTGCCTTCACTGGACTTAGTCCAGGTTCATTTGCTGCCTTGCAGGCCAGGATAGCACTGTATTATATAGGTAGAAGCATATAATTATATAGGGCATATAGATATATACTTTTTATGTTGCTGTCTGACAGTGCTGCTGGCAAATATGACAAAAAAGCAACAGTGTAAATTTTGCCTGCTGTAAGTGGTCTAAATCCCAAGTAAATCTGCCTAGAATGTCCCRGTGAAAATGTATTCCCTGAAGACGTCCACAAAGGCTCAGCATCCGCTATTGTTTTTAAAGATAATGTTTTCCACTTAATCTTTCAGGGGTTTTTTTTTTCCCCCTTTCAGTTTTTGATGGTGGCTTTGTCACCTCTGGGCTCAGAAGGGAAAAGAAATTAGCATTTAGATGGGAATTTTTTTTTTTGCATTGAAACCAATTGAAATGGAAACTGGGACCGACAGCGGGTGAGGAAGGCGAAACCGATCCACGGGATAATTCAGAGATGACATTCATAGCAGGAGGATGATGAACCAGCCCACAGATCCATTGGCCTTTGCCAGTATCATTACTCACATGTTTCATGGAGAAAAGTAATCCACCAGGCTGTAATTTCTGAACTCCACTCATTGGAGCCCTGAAATGAGACCCCATTCGATTTCCCTCACTGCTCATGGAGACCCTCACCAAAAGCAGAGACCCTTCACCTCCCCAAGGGGCCAAATGAGCCACCTTTCCTCTCATACTGCGAGAAAACCTCCTTAGCTGACCCCAAAGGAGCATGATTTGGGGCTGAGCATGATGGCAGATATTTTTTCCCTGCAAACCATCTCTTGGGACCTGAAAATTTATGAGGGTAGGTGGCCTCAGGCATGAAAGGGGATCCTCTGCTCTCATTCCAGAGGGCCCTTGACCTTTCCTGCAGAAGAGCTTTCGCCTSACACCATCAGAAGCTCCCTCTCTATTCGCATCATGGTGCTCAACTCATTTTTATCTGAAGAGTTTCAGCAGCACCACCCAAACCCCAAACCACCCTGTTCAGCACCKAATACCCTCATGACTGAGCCATGGCTCCCATTTCTGGTGTCTCAGTGGGGCTTTAGCCAAAGCTCCCTTTGCAGCTGTCCTTTTTGAGGGCATCCCACTGCTCCTCCCTCCCTGGCCCATCAGTAACAGTTGTGTTGTTTCCAGGAGGATGACATGGAGGGAATCCACATCGTAGCCTTTGCTGAAGAAGATGACCCAGGTATGARGCCATTTCCTTCCTTGTGTGACCCCCCATCCTTCAGGAAAGTGTATTTTCTTCTCCTTTGTTTGCACTGTGGAGCCCAGCACCCTGAGATTCTTCTGGGTATTCATGCTAGGATATAAATGGATGATGAAAAAAGAGTCATTCCTTCCACCCCAGTAGCAAGATTTGCTCCCTAACTCTTCATCCATCTTGCTGTGTGCCTCTGGGAAAGATCTGAGGGCTGGGAGTGGGATAGGMATGTGGGAAAGCTGAGGCCAACAGCTCCTGAAAAGCCGTGGCATYGGTGCTTCTCAGAGCTTCTCAAAGCCATGGGCAAATCGGAAAGCTTTGGCCTCTTGGGGGCTCAGTTCCTCCCTCARCACAAGAAAATAGTGACATTGTTCCACTCCACGGAAGGATTATGGGGCTTAATTCATGTGTAACTAATTTCAATACCCGAGGAGGATGCTTGAAATTAAAAGCCTTATTATCAAAAGAAAGCGCTGGGAGACAGCATTTTAATGAGAACTATAAACAACTCCTGTGTGCACAGGGGAGCCAGGGAAACCCACAAGCAAAAAGCAGAGTTGAAATGGTTCATGTATCATTGCAGATGGGTTTGAGTTCCTGGAAATCCTGAAGCAGGTTGCCAGGGACAACACTGATAATCCCGACCTGAGCATTGTCTGGATCGACCCTGATGACTTTCCTCTGGTGAGTGGCAGAGGTTCTTTGCCTTTCTTGTTTTTAATTCGTGGATGGGGCGAGTGTGAGGGTGATTGTGGGGGTGTGGGAATTGTCCCAGGGAATGTGGGACAGGGAAGGATAGGAAACTGGACCATCATCTCCCTAAAGCAGGAATTGCTCCAGGGAATGTGGGACAGGGAAGGATGGGAAATTGGACCATCATCTCCCTGAAAGCAGGAATTGCCCCAGGGAATGTGGGACAGGGAAGGATGGGAAACTGGACCATCATCTCCCTGAAAGCTGCTTGTTTGGTGTCCCAAGAAGGTTTTTCCTTGGGAACACCCCCAGAGTGGGCACTTTCCTTTTCCAGCCCAAGCTTGTCCAGCCTGTCCTGTCCTCTCCTCTCCCCTGTGCACACATGGATGCACATTCCTCTCTCTGTGCCCCCAAGGCAGTGGGGCTTTGCAAACGCCCCCATCTGAGCTTTGTGTCTTTGCTCCTGCAGCTCATCACTTACTGGGAGAAGACCTTYGACATCGACCTGTTCAGACCGCAGATCGGGGTGGTGAACGTCACAGACGTGAGTAACCTGTGCCCAAAAAACCCAGCCATCCCAAAATTAGGGTGATAAAAAGGGTGGGACCTGAGGTCTGCTGGAGCCAGTGGGATTCCTACCATTCAGTGCAAGCAGGCTTTTACCCTGGGGAAAAAAACATGAAGACCTTACTATGGGTTTATAACACCTGCCACAGGGTTTTTAACACCACCTAGGTGGGTTTGAGCGCTTTAATCTGAGTGTTTCTGCTGACAAATCACACACAAATTGCATCTGCTGAGGACAGGATCAGCCTCTAAGGTCTGGGATTCAGGGCTTTGCCCAGTTTTGGTTTCAAGGTCTCACATTTCCACCTCCATCCACAGCACTCACCTTTGTCCATTCCCTGCTCCAACAGCTTGGGTGGAGGAAAAACCTGTGTAGGGGAAAAAAAAGCCATGCTTAGGGGAGGAGAAGAGGAGGAAAAGGAGGTTGTTTATTTCTACAGAAGCAAAAGGGCACAGCTTGAGTGTAGGAGGGAAAGATGGTCCCCAACAGATGACAGGGAGAAACTGCACAGCTTGAAAAAAAAAAACTAAACAAACACACAGCTTAAACAGAAGTACAGCATAGACTGGTAGCAGAGGGATCCTGCTGTGGTGAGGAGGGGGCACTGGGGTTCATCCAGGCCCTCCTTCCCAAGGGATCTGCTGGCTGCWATCTAACATGCTTCAGAGCCCTGAAGCAGAGAGAAATCATTCTTTCCTCTTTCTGATCAGAGACCCCATAATGGAGCATGTTCCTGCCTGGCTCACCTATTACCYGAGTTTACTTTTAGTGCTTAAGTGCTGAATGTTTGTTTTAATCTCTTTAAAACCAACCTGTGTGGGTGTGTAAGTGTCTCTGGAAACAGAACTCTCTCCACCACAGAAGTGTTTGTAAATTGGTGCTTGACTTTGTGTTTGCAATTTGAGTCATRAGAGAACTTGATGATTCATTAGAAGACAGCAGTGAGGGACTTAGAGTTGGGAWAAATGTGTGGGGCTGGGTGCTGGTTTGGCTCAACACTGACCTTGCTTCCACATCCTCTCTCCTGTATCTCCCCAGAAAAAGAGGGACAGCAAGGGTGTACTGGACAGTTGTGCCTCCTGTTAGAACACATGCTGCAAGATTTTAATGTGGGAGATGTGGTGGGGAAGGCAAAGCAAGGGTGTCATGAAGAAAACAGAGTCCCTGGATCCTGCCTATCCCATTTAGGGGGCTGAAAAGCTGATTTGGAAGTAGTTTGAGCCCTGGCTGGATGTGAGCTTTTTGCCTGTGATAGAGCAGTACTCCACCAGACCATGGGGCAGACACCTAGAGAGTGAGGACACAGTGAATTAAGTCTTCTTAGCAGAATTGTTAAGGGAGARACAAAAGGGAAAGGGGCCAAAATAGCATCTGTCAACTGAGATCATGAGAGAAATRAATGGACAAGCCAGAAAGACAGCCCAAGTCTTCCAGTCTTTTGCTCTTAGTCCACAGTATCCCCCTTCTTTATATTTACTGTGACTGGTCATGTTTAAGTCGTGTCAAAGCTACATTAAACAGCAATCAATGGAAATTTGTGGAAGTAGAATTGTCCATGGCATGAGAAAGCAGAATTAGAACTTATGCCTTATTATTCAGCAGTCAYTCAGAGACCTGTAAAAACCCATGCATCATCTGGCTTTGATATAGTAAATGTTTCAGGTTGTTGATTATAGTATTTGCAGGTTTTATTTCATTCCTCATAAGTCCCTTTTTTATTTCTCGAGAGAGATTTAAGAAAGTTCTAGTTTGGTGGGTGATATCTAAAACAAACAGTGGGCTCATTTTGTTATTTCAGTGTTACATCACAAGTGACACAGGTACAAAGTGGGGCTTACACAACAGAGTGAAAATAAACACTGCTCTTGGCTTCAGTGGACATAACCCCTGTGACCCCATCACTTTTTCAAAAACCTGCCAATGCAAACACCACAGCTCCCAAGTGGCTCATCACATTGTGGTGGCTGTGGCTCAGGACAAKGGCCAGGACACCCTGAAAAATATCACTGCTTTATTTGCACAGCACCTTCTCCAGGTGAAATGGAGCCACTCCTCTTCCCATTATTTAAAAGTGTCACTTTTTACTGCAYGAACAGTCCTGAGGTTAGGGACGTGAAAACCTGCATCAAAGAAGAGCTGCATGCTTATCCATGGCTTTTTTATTACAATTTTGGTGAATTAGGAAGAAAATACTGTGTGGGAAACACAGCTTTTCTTGAGCAGAAATTGGTCTGGCTTTTTGGCAAGCCATAAACCAAAGAGAATTAGGCACCACAGATGGGGAAAGAAGTTGGATGCATTTGCAAAAGCTGGTAGTCACCTTCTGATATGTGAAGATCACTTGCTTCTGCAGCTTCAAATGCTGAATGAGATAACCTGACAGCTCCTCTGCAAAATAGGAGGCTGATACTGTTTTATGGAGGGGAGACAGTAAAGAGAAAAGAGGCTTATCCAGGCATTTAATCAAGGAACATATAGCAAAGCAGAGGAAAACTTTCATTTCCTGATCTCAAAGACCATCTGAGGTGTGCTTACTGTCTCTGGATACCAGCCACAATTTTGTCATTGTCTTCCCACTGAATTTCCCTATCCCCTCTGGTTTATGGAAGTAATGCAGACTGCTGGAGGGAAGGAGCAGGGACGCCTGCAGTCCAGAGTATTGGGGTTTCTCACCATTCTTCAGCAGAAATGCATGGGAGCATGGGTGAGATGATCTGAGGAAAGGGTGTTCTGAAAGCAGGGACCATCATCACACAGGGAGGGTCCTGARYAAGGTCCTGAGACAGARGTGAAAGGCTGTGAAAGGTCGGGAGAAAGGAGCTGACAGAGGATGGTAAAGGCTCCAAGGAAGAGGTGCCCGAGGGCTCTGGGTGGAAGGAGGGAAACACCGTGATGTCCTGTGAATCCAGGGTGATGCAGTGCGTGCTGGCAGAGGTSTCTTTGAGATCTCTTTACATAGACTTGGAGTCCTCAGAGCTGTCCAGATAGAGGCAGAGTGCAGCAGGGATGGGGAGCAGACACACATCTCATCAGGGCACACAGACCATGATCCTGTGACCCTGCTGGCCGATCCCATTGCCCAGTCAAACACAACACCACACCCCTGTGACCCTGCTGACCAGTCCCATTGCCCCATCAAACACAGCACCACACCACTGCCCTGTCAAACACAGCACCACACCCCTGTGACCCTGCTGACCATTCCCACTGCCCTGGTCAAACACAGCATCACATCCCTGTGACCCTGCTGACCATTCCCACTGCCCTGGTCAAACACAGCATCACACCCCTGTAACCCTGCTGACCATTCCCACTGCCCTGGTCAAACACAGCACCACACCCCTGTAACCCTGCTGACCATTCCCACTGCCCTGGTCAAACACAGCACCACACCCCTGTAACCCTGCTGACCATTCCCACTGCCCTGGTCAAACACAGCACCACACCCCTGTAACCCTGCTGACCATTCCCACTGCCCTGGTCAAACACAGCACCACACCCCTGTAACCCTGCTGACCATTCCCACTGCCCTGGTCAAACACAGAATCACATCCCTGTAACCCCGCTGACCATTCCCACTGCCCTGGTCAAACACAGCATCACTCCCCGGTTAAGTGGTGGCCCAATGCATGGCAGAGCCTCTGGCTGAGCTGCCCACAGGCTGTGGCACAGAGGGAGCTAACTCTGCCCCCATCCCTGCATCCCACAGTCCAGCCCTCACCCCACAACAGCCGTGTCCCCCATCTCTCCCCGTGTCCCTGAGGGCAGCTATAACCCCTCATCACCTGTCCCCTCAGGCTGACAGCGTCTGGATGGACATCAGAGATGATGATGACCTGCCCACAGCCGAGGAGCTGGAGGACTGGATAGAGGATGTGCTTTCTGGGAAGATAAACACCGAGGATGACGATGACGATGATGACGACGATGACGATGATGATGACGACGACGATGACGACGATGAYGATGACGACGATGACGATGATGATGACGATGAYGAYGACTAACTGTGACTCTGTGCAGTTTGACTCGTGGGCCCCCAGAGCCCTCGCCCTGCGGCAGGTCCCTCCGTTGGAAGATCCAAATTTGAGCATCAGCAAGCACCGCTGCTCCTCCTTCCCCCCCGCCCCGCTCCCCCTGCCCTTGCCGGGACCCCCTCGCCTGATTCCCAGCGATGCTGAGCCACCTGCGGGCACCCAGCACCGCTGCAAATCATGCCTTCCTTAGCAAGGACAGCAGCAACCTGCAGGGAATCTGCCCCCAGTGTCCCAGGGCAGGAGAAAAGTGCCTGCCTGCTTGCTGCCAGAGGGACGCAGGGAGCCAGTTTGGATCTTCTGTGCTCATCAGCCCAGCACTTAACATCCAAAGACCAAATCTCACTTCAAGACATAGGGAAAACCCTAAACTGTAAAGTKCAGCCCTTTTATTAAACACAATGCCCTTTGCAGCTACTCTGCCAAGACCACTCAATCCTGCAAGTTCTGCTGCGGGAGTAGCTACTCTCTAACGTGCTAAGAGCAGCAAAATGCTTTGGGAGGGGAGGGAGGTTGCAGGGATGCTATTAAAGTTTTCAGTGGTTCCACATAATGACAGGATATTCTTGTCTGGCAGCGCAATGCAAAACCAAACACCGTGGCCTCTGTCTGAGGCTCCTTTTTCTGGGGTCAGTGTTTGATATGAGACATCTCATGAGCTCCTGAACTGCTGGACAGGCTGATCCAGCTCTGAGCCCAACCTGAGTCCAAACCATGGAATTTGAAGATTGTGGCACTGAGCTAAGCCAAGGGGAACATCTATAGGGGCCCACCCTGACGCATTCCTATTCCCCAAGACCTTCCATCTTTAGCTGACTCTTCACCCAAAGCTGATGTAGGACCTTTTCCCATGATTGAGATGTTGGGAGGGAACACATCCATCCAAACACATCAGATGGTGGATGAGGTGCACTGGGGCTTGAGCAGTGGACACATTGAAGCTGCTCACCTTTTGAGAATTTAATTGCAGGTCCTGGCAGGTGCAGCAYCATCCATGTGCAGGTCACTGTGGCAGCTTAGGTCTGCTTTCAATTGTCTTCAGCAGCTTCTTAGGTTTGGCTATAGTGCAATGAAGGAAGAATTCATTCATTGAGGAGATGGTTTTATCTTTATAAACACATTTATAAAGGTGTTCTCCTGYTGCTCAGAGTTGTTAGCATAGGTARTGTACACATCTCCTCTCTTGCTGCAAACAAAAAACATTGTTCTGACCATCCTGATGCTGGCTTAGGACAGAGGTATCACCTTGTGTGATGTGAGGGGAAATAACAGTGCGAGGGATAGAAGAATCAGAGCTCATGACACAAAYGTGAATCAGCCCAATGAGAAACAGGATTTACACACTATACATTTCCTTTATCAGATGAACTGCAAAGCAAGACTTCATAGATTTTTTTTTTCCTGCCTGTTGATCAGTTTCTTTGACTCCGCCTCTCTACGTTAGCTGAAATAGAAATTTGAAATAACTGGTATAAAAAGCTGAAGAATTGCTATGTGTGCCATATCCCCTCGGTGGAAAGTGCCAGTGTGGACAGCACAAAGCTGCAAATCTCTGTATCTGTGCACATAAATGAATGCTGTGCTAACAGGGTAAATGACTGCAGGCCACATCAGCTCCTCGTTGAGCATCAACAAGGATACCCAACGTGTATTTTTCAGGTCCAGCATGTTAGAAGAATAGACAAGGAAGCAAAGCTCTCAGGTCAACCATTTGTCCTTTCTTGCTTCCCTTATGATGCATAAGCATTGCCTGGAAGATGAATCAAGTTTGTCTGGGGAGACCATCCACCTGATTGTTCTGGGGTGATGAATAAGCATTTTGGAAAGTCCTGAAATTCAGTGTGCTCTCAGCACAGAGATCCCATCCTCTCTTTCACTCACACCCCACTTTGTGCTGGCCAACAGCGTGCCCAGCATTCTCCTTCTGCTTTTTCCTCGAGGTTTGCTGGAGGAGCCCAGCTCAGAGAGAGAGCACAATCTCCAGCCATGCCATCAACCCAGAGTTGTCTTGGGTGCTTTCTGTGTTCTCCTCTCCCACTGTGGCTGCCCCTCTGCTCTGAAGTGCCCCAYTCTGGATCCTCTGGGGTTACCCAGGCAGGGCAGGCAGACCCTGCAAACAGCACCAGGGACATGCTCAAGTGCACAGGTGTTTCACAGGCACTGAAACACTTCAAAGCAAAGCACCTCTGGGGGGAAAGAAATAAATAATGTACAAGTGTAGAGGCTGAACTCATACTGGGGAGTGGTGCCAGTGGTTTGTGGAAAATTTCCCTCAAGTTGTGCAAGAAAGAGCTAATCCTACAGCTGCCACTCCTTCGTGGTGCCAGGGATGGGGCTGCCTCTTGTCTCCTCCCTCAGTCCACCATTACAGCTCTCATCGTTGTCTTTGCTCACAAACAGGAACTGTTTATCATCAGCTTTTGGGATAAAGACATAAAAAGTCAGGAAAGCATTGCAGCAATGAGGACGGGTGAGCACAAAGCCTTTCCCATTTACCTGTAACATCTCCTCTGCCCCGAGACCCTAATGACCAAACCACTGAATGATGTAGTGCCCCTTGGGGAGGAGGTGGCAGCTGAAATTTGGGTGCTTTCCTTGCAGGGATGGGAAAGGCAGTGGTGTGGGGATGACACACCAGATACTCCTCGGGTCCTCTGACACAAGCAGGAACTGGCATTTGAAAGGCACTGGTGGCACTGAGGAGCAAAGTCAGCCTAACCCTGCTCATGATACACTGAGAAGCAGAAGGTCAGCACATTTGGATGAGGAATCTGAAAAAAAACCCTTTGTTAAAAAAAAAAATAATAATTGTGTATGTGGGCAGCACTGAGTGTTTAAAAAGCACATCTCTCYTGACAAGTAGTTTTTCCTCCAGCATGTAAACCAGACATATTAAATGGCTCTTAATACTCATAAAGACAGGAATTGTATTTTACCCTCATCCAGCTGTGAGTGCTTCAAGGTGATCAGTTTCTTTGTACAATTATTCAATCATTTTGATTGGAGAAGACCCCCTATGATCATTTAGTCTGACATTAACCCACCACTGTCAAGGAAGTACCCAAAGTACTCCAAAACCTGGTCTTATACCCAAAACTGCTCTGAGTTGATTTCAACCATTTAGGAAACGGGTGCAGGGGGAGAGGACAAGGGAAGCACTCTGGATATTGCAGATTACTCTGTGTTTTCAGGGTCAGCAGTCTTTGTGATGTTTCTGGGGACTGATGAGTCTCCTGTCCCTCTCTGGGGAGAGAAGTGGCCCCACAGTGAAACCAGAGAGCTCTGCTGCTCCCCATCCCAGAATGAAGCTGTTCAGCCCGACACCAACGTGAACACAGAGCCAAGGACAGCGCTGCTCCTCCATGTCTGTCTGCACACCATACCTAAAGAAATTATTGACCCATTACACAGACCAAACAGAAAACATCCCCTTATTCCCAGGAAAACAAYTAATTAGACAGGAGCATATCAATTCCCACTTCCACTGACTTACAGTCTTGTGAAAACAGGCCAAGATCGTCTCTGGATCGTTCTCCAGCGCAGCCAAGCTCTGTCTTTGAGGCAGTCCTGGGCTTGGGGGGATGAAGAGGAGGAACAGGCAATCAGTCCAGGAGCAGCCCAGCCCTCTGAGACAGAGCACTCTGCCTTCTAGCTGCTTTACACCCTGGGTACATCCGTGTGAGCTGAGCTGCTGGGAACTGGGAACAGCAGAGCACAGCAGGAAGGATGATTGACCTCAGCAATGAGATCTGTGACAGCCCACCCCACTGYGTGTCCCCTGCCTTCTCCCCTCTCCCTGGAACCACTGATGTCCAGCAGAGCAGCCCTTGGATGGGCAGTACCCCTGGGGGACAGCTGTGGGGTGGCTCTCACACCTCTTTGGTGGAAGATGACATCTCATGACAATGGGGACCGTGGGGCAGAGTCTTGGCCCACCTCCCAGGACACTCTGCCAGGTTTAAAAGGTGCTAAGCTATTTAAAGACAAAAACAAGCTACAGAGCTTCCTTGCAGCTTGAAGACCCRTTTTAGGAATCAGATTACAAACTGSCCTTGGGATGSAAGCAAAGATCCTTCMTGTGCCTTGCTTTCTCTTGCCAAGCCCCTGTGATGAAGGGGCTCAGCAAAGCAGTCAAAGGGAGGTGTCCCTAATGCTATGGAAATCAAGAAAACACCTTTTTCACCTTCTTCTCATGCCTCTTGACTTACCACTCTTCTGACCCTTCATTGGCTCCCCTCATTTATTTTCTCTCTCCATTTCTATGTACTTTGTGTTCCTCTTTTCAACCCACCCCCACCACTGCCACGAGCTGCCTGTGCTGGAACACCACTGTGAATGTGAGCAGGGATGGCATTTCCTTTCTGAGGAGAAAGATGTCTGGACCGGGCTGTCACTGGCTTTTATTTTGAGTGGGATAGGTGGGGCTTTTCCCAAGAAAAAGCCATTTCACCAGCCTGGTGCAAAAGTACCAGAATTTTTTTGGTAGACATCTTTTTCCGCTGTCCCAAAATCTAGGTGAGGAACCACCACCCTGCTGTCACTGTGGGAAGGGACCAGTAACTCCCAGTGCCACCAGCAACCACAGCACAACAGTGTCTGAACAGGAGACAAGTGTCATGTACAGGAAATAACCCTGGGTTAAATAGTTTGCTGGAGGGGGCAGCCCAAATTCAGCAGCAGCCAGAAAGCCACCTCCCTGCCAGAGGCTACCAGTGGCTGTCCTCACTGAGCCCTGCCTTGGTCGTGGGTGGTAAATGACTTAAATAGCCATGGGCAACCTCATCTKCTTTTGGCTTTGGAGAAAGCCCAGCTTGGATCAGGGCACTCCCTCAATAACACAGGGAAAAAATAAAGTGATGTTTGACCAGAGAGCAGCCCTGAATTTTGCCTGGTGTCAGATTTTGATTTTTTTTGCTTTAAAATTCAATTAAACCTTCAAAGTCCTGCTCCTGATAGTGACAAAGAGAGAGGTTATCAACAGCAAAARTAGCTAAATGTTTGAGAACATTTTAATCCCCACAAAAGTTGCTGAAGGAATGTGCACAGCTTCCCACAGTCTAGTTACTGAATTACTAAACCAGTTTCTCACAACCACTTACAAAGCAAAATTGTAATCAACCGTAGGATATGGTGYTATGAGTACTCAAGAATGAGCTTTTGCAAAATAGAAGCTAAAAGGTTTTCAGAACTGTTTCACATCTGTGGCTCAGATATAATCACCTCCTTCTTGTTCCCTCTTCTAAAGCATGCCCACAGCATCTGATTTGTGCTGAAGAGAAGTCCAAAGAGCTGTAACATTCTGAATGTCTCTTAAAACTTCCAAAGRGGCTGAAGCAAATGTGTTTTGTCAAGAACTCCCTTCTCCCCATGCATCCACTTTTCCTTCACGCTACCTTTTTAAATAATAAGGAAAAAGAGAAAAAGGAAAAAAGAAAGACAAYCAAGACTAGATGCTTAAACAATTGTAAACCTGCTTTTTTGCCTTTGGAAGAGACTTAAAATGTTGCAATTTACAGACTAGCTGCATGGCTAGAGCCATTTGTGGTGTATCAGTTTTTAAAAATCTCTGTGCCTTCACATTGCTAAGGATGCTGGAGGGAAAACTCACACCAGAATCCCTAAAGTCGCTTCCACTGACTTCACATTTGCCTTGTGTTACCAYCTCTCTTGAGGCTTTGCTGCCTGCTCCACATTTTGGTACACAAGCAAGGTGGATGCACTGAGCTGCCCCAAATGCACATCCACCAGGTAAAAGTTCTCCTCCTCCTTCTTCTTTGGAGTTGTATTTAGTGCTGCCCACGCAGAGCCCAGCGACTGATTGTTGTTCCTTGGCTATAATCCCTGCACAAACACCTGTTTTCTCCTTCTCCTGGGCAGGACCCACGGGATTTGGGAGGCCAAAAGGCAGCAGGATGGCTGTAGCAGGGCTCCTGGGGCCCCCAGGTTACCCATATCACCTGAGCTGAATCCCAGGCAAGCCACAAGTCCTGTACAGAAGTTTTCATTCCATTCAGGTCCCAGATTTAGGAGGAAGGGAAGAGCAGCTCAGGGCTTTGGAGCAGGCTGGCAGTTTTGCAGCACACCCCAAGCTGAACACAGATTCACTATTACGTGAGCAGTAGTTGGGGAGAAAAACACACCAAACAAGCCACAACTTTTTCAAAGTTCATTGTGGAGAAGGACAGGGAGATGGGGACAAACAGGAAAGCAGCTTTCTTCCCATTTGAGGTAGTCCCCATTTTCCTAGGAATGTATCAGCATGAGCTAGCACACAAACTCACAGCAGGGCTGTAAAAATGGTTACAGCTTTTCAAAGCCACTCAGGAAACCTTGCTCGTAGATAATGGTTTATGCACTCGCCGTCCCCACTTCTGCAGACACACTGTTCTGAGAGTTCTCTTTTCTCTCAGCTTCTCCTGACCCAGCAGCCCATGGATGCACACACGGAAAGAGAACAGACACCTTTGCCCCTGTGGATTATCTGTCAGCACCGGAAAGGACTGTAACCCAAACCCACCMCATTCCCAATCCAACATAAACTCAGGAGTGCTGCTGAAAGAGAAATCAAAGCGCTCTGCTTGGCCAACACCCAGCACACCTTCCTTTCCTGCATGCTGTTGTGAGACACCATGTCTTGCTGAGAGATCCCCTTCCCCTTGCACCTACCCCACCTGCCCYGAGCTCCASTGATGCCTGATGATTTTTGCTTTTCCATTTACRMTTCTGTACCCTCTMTGCATTCCCCTGCACCCCTKAGCCCACATGCTTGTAATTCCTGAAGCCTGATATTCCAGCTTAGTTTAGGAGTTCTGCTGGGCAGAGACACCAAACATCCTGAGGATGGGATCAAGTGTGCCCTGTGCTATCTTAAACCTGAGCTCAGCCTTGGGTGAAGCCTTCTGTCCAGAACATCTTGTGTAAACTGGGCTCTGGCCTCATCTGGGGGGGATTCATTAGAATAGGGGGACATTACTGCATTTGTKAAGTTTCTTATTGGGGAATCCTAGATAGATATGCTAATTCCTGAAACCTATAAAACTTGTACCCGTGCTGTACACGGGTGTGCATTCTGCCATCAAGTTGTGCACCTGGGATCCCAAATACCGAGGTAAAACCCTTTTTATCCCCTTAACCGTGTCTGTGTCATTAAAAACTGGCCTTTCAAGGCAACACCAGGAGCCCTTGGAAGCCCTTGAGCCCAACCCCTCCTGTACTTGCCAGGAGTGTAGAGCTGGGGCTGAGACAGCTGAGCCATTTCATGGCACTAGGAGAAGCTGGTTTGGGGTTTGGAGCCCTGCTGACCTGCACAGCCAGATGTMTCACTGAGAGATGTCTCACTGTATTAATTCAGCTAACAATATCACRGGGTGTGGTACTGCCTGTGCTTCAAGCAAGGCTCTGGAGCCAAAGGTAACAAATCCCCTTCTTACCCTGTTTGTTATGCCCTGATTGCAYGCAGCCTCCTTACCCCACAGATCCCTACTTCCTTCCCCACAGCTGATGTTTTCTGACTGTCCATGGCTGCGAGGCCCTGTAACAATCGATTTTCTTACAAATGAAGCCACAATTCAGGCACCAAATACCCACAGCAATGGCTGTTGCTGTGCTGTCCCAACAACAGTCAAGAAGGGCACTGCAGGAGAAGCTTCTCCTGCCCAGTCCAGCATGTTCCTCAGGGAAAAGGTGCTTACCTCTGATTCAGGATGCCACGTCCCTCCAGGTGGTGGGGTTTTGTTCCAGGATTTTTTCCTTCATCCCCTTTCTGTCAGAGGTTTGGGYTGGTCATGCTTAAACCAACGTTGCACCTGAGGCTCCATCACACCTCAAAGGTCTGTGCAGCCTCAGTGAAAAGACTTGGCCAAACCAGACCGGCTCCCTCGGCTCTAATTTCTGCTGAGCTACATACCACAGCCCTTTATGATTCAGATATCTGAGCCCTGGGTGAAGGCCAAGGGAACCAGTCCCTCTAGCAGAGCCTGTTCCTTCCATCAGCTCCCAGAGCAGGACAGAAAACGCCACAAACGGCACCAGCCAGGTGTTGATTTGGTATCAGCACCATCCCAGAAATGAAACAGAGCGTGCTGAACTCACATGTGAAGACACAGCTCTCAGAGCTGAGAGCCTGGAAGGAGGCTGACAAACCCAGTATCTTGTTTATGCCAAATTCCTGCTGCTCACACCTTCCCACGACACACCTGTGGTTGGCTCCTGGAGTTTTTACCTGCACAGCTCCAGTCCAGCTCTCAGCTCTGCCTCTGAGGGGCAGGAGGGGACCAGCAATGGCTGCACCCCAATTTCAGGCTCTGCAGGGCAGCTGCATTGCTGYTCCCTTTCCCTGGCCATCTCTGGCAGCTGACCTGCAAACATTTGGGGCTGGGCACTGCCAAAGCAGCAGCGGGATGAGGGGGACAGATCAAAAGCAGAGATCAAGGGAGGGCAGGAGGCAGAACAGAGCACACCCCCGTCCCACCCTTCCTGCTTCCTCCCAGGCCTTAGCTCAGCTCYCTCTAGCACAAATACCTCTGTCTCTCCACAAGCAGAGAATTAAATGCCTGTGGAGAGAAACAGCCACGTGTATGTCTGTGCTGCTTATCTCCACAACTGCTGCATTCTTTKTCACTAAAGAGCTGCATCCTGTGGATTTTTCCAGCAGCTGATGCCACCAAGGAGAGGTGCTGAGCTGGGCACAGCTCTGAAGCCAAGTATTCCCCCTTAAAGGGCACCAAAGAACATTTAGACAACCAAGCTGCTCCCACTGTTCCTTGGGCAGAGGTGCTTCATTTTTCCAAGCCCTTGGTGTGCTGGAGATGGAAACTGATGGTGGGGAAAGCCACACCCAGAGATGCTGCTGAGGTGAGATCCCCGCACCTTTTGTTTTAGCAGAGCACAGGTTTGTGTCCACACAAACAAGGAGCACTGGCTTTTCTGCCTCTTGCCACTCCTCCTCCTCACCAAAGCCAAATAAGGAAATCAGCAGTGAATCCTGCASTTCATAATTTGTGTGCAAACTGTGAGAACACAGGAGGCAGAAAAACCTGTTCCCACTCCAGTCATGCACCCCCTTCCTCCCCAGGTGCATTTGCTCCCCATCATTTGAGATTTCAGGTGTTCAAAGCAGTCACCTACCAGTCTTCCTTCAGGAGTGATAAATGAGTTTGCATTTTACTGAGGCAGGGCAAAACCAGAAAGGCCTAGAAACGAGGGTGACAAAAAGACAACCTCAAAAAAGCTAAATCACATGTTTGCAGGGCCCCTTCCTGCCCACAACTAAGGAATGCTTGAAAATGAGAGGAGCTTTTTGTCTGAAAGGATAAGAGAAAGGAGAGGGACAATCAAATCTGGTTTCAGTTTATTTCCAGAATTTTACTGTACAAAATATGCAAAGTGTAAAACGGTTTTATGTTTCAGTTTAAAAAACAACAAAACCCCATCCAGCTATAACTTAAGAGAACCCAGCTTGGAACAGAACAATTTACAAGGCTAAACCCACAGTGCATTAATGTCACAGACACCAGGAATTTGCTTAGTTAAGTTCACAATTAGAAAAGAACAGTAAAAACATGTACCATTGCAGTTAAAGTCACATGTGCAAAGAAGAGAAAAAAGAATGAAATGCTGGTTAGTGTCTATTAATTAGAAAACCTTGGCAAAACCCTTCTTACTATACACAATGTGTGTAGAAAAAGTATTACACAGTGATAAAGGAGGGTGGGGGAAGGGCACTTTGCTCCCACCCCCTTCCCCAAGACACAATAATGCTGAATAATCAAAGAAACAGGCACAGAAGAGTGTAGGATTCCATCACAGTTATGCCTGTTGAGGCGTGGCCACAGCACCTCCCTGCTGTGCACAAAAGAGATTCCCCCAAAAATCATCAGCGCTGGTGAGAGGGGCTGCGGGAGCAGCCCCAGGGAAGGAATGATCCCCTCCCTCCCTGGGCAGGGCCAGCTGYCTGCTGCCCACAGGGTTCCATGTGCTACAGGATAAGAAATGCAGTCTCTGGGAGGATGTGGATGGGTGGATAATGCCAGATGTGGCGCTGGCACTGCAGGGACATGGCTTGGGACCATCCCAAAGCCACCCCCATGGAAACGGACACGTTTGGTCATCATCGATGGGAGGCAGCAGCCTGAACGCAGGAGGATGCACACTCCTCTAGGAGACCACATGGCCCAAAGCCATCTCTTTTAGAACAGAAATTTGGGGGGTTTTACTTTTTATTTTTTTTTGCTTGTTTTCTAAAACCAGCTCAATTCCAAGAGCACTTCCTTCCTAACGACAGCTGAAACACCGAACCAYCAAGTCTGGCCTGAGGCTTTAGACACGGATCATGTGCACACCTAGAGGGGGAAAGCACACAGACACACACAAGCTGAATGAGAAAACACCTGCACACACACCTTGTGAGTGGCTCTCACATGGCTGGGCAGCACTGAGCCCAAGTGAGGAGCCAGCATGGGACCAGACTCCAGCATTGCTGCAGAACACTTGTTTTACCTTTGAAAGGGGCAGAGTTACAAGTTTTGGTGGGCAAGATGAAATTGGCTTGAAGAGGTTTCCATGTTTAGCAAGTTATGGATCTTTCCAGATTCTTCTTCTTCAGCACTTCCAAGAGTGCTGCCTGCTCAGCTGCCAAGTGTGGGGAAGGACACTGAGACCCAAGGCAGCCTCACAGAATCTGCACCCACAGCAAAAGTCACATTGCAATGAAGACTAACAGATGTGACAACAACATCTGTCCATGCCCAGTTACAGGACTGGCAAAGTGTTAAGAGCAGTTATCTGCCCCTACACCCCTGGAAGCTGTGAGAAATCCAAATTCTTCACTTTACAGCCTTTATGGAAACCCACAGCCATTTCMATCTGCTCCAGAAAACTAGAAAGTCTCAGCTGCATCTGGTTTTGCAAGATCTCAGCATAGCTTTGGATTTAGGCCGTAACAAATCTGAGAGCAAAAATCCAAAGCCTTTAAAGTATCCGAGCAGCATATTTGAGTTACAGGAAATGTGCCAACGTGGAAGAGAGGAGTGGGGCACCACCACTCCTGGCTGGGCAGCACARCACCCTATCAAATGGTTCAGCTTCCAGTGCAAGGATCATCTCCAAGGGGGACACCAACCACTACATCACTAACAGGGCTGTCTTAAAAGACCACTTGAATTCTAACAAAACCCCCACAATTCCCAACCAGGTACAAATATCCAGMCTAGGACAGAGGAAGGAAAGTATGTGCAAAGAGACAGTGCAGGATAGGAGAGGCATTCAGAGGAACAGCCTGCACTTGGCTGGCAAACCCTACAAGTTGTATTTGTGCTCAGCTCTTGGCAAGCTCGGCAGAAGTAAGGGCTGCAGGAATTGGATTAGAGCTTCGTTCCCTGACTCCATTCTTACTCATCAGCTGGCTATAAACAGAGTTAAACAAAGCAGTCTGCACTCACCGCTCAGTATTTTTTATAGTTTGAATTCCTACAGATGCCACAGATCCAACTGCGGATCTCAAAGCACTTGACAACAAGTTTTTAGCCTCACAACATGCCAGTGAGGTAGGTATCACAGTGGTCCCCTGATTTTGCATGGAGAAGGGAAGCAAGAGAAACCCTGAAAAAAGTCACCAAAAATACCCAAACAGGGAATATTCAGGAATCATGATTCCCCTTTCAGTCTGTCRTCACCTCTAAGCAGGTTGCCTCTCTAAAGAGACCATTTGAGAGAGTCCTCTCCTTCAGATTTCATCARGCAAAGCATTCACTCTGCTGACACAGGGAAGAGCTTTTAAGGTAGGAGTTGGCCCCTGTTGACAGTGTCCTTTTTGGCAGCAGGCAGAAAAGGCAGTGTTGAACCACAACACAAAGATGAAGAAGCAGACCCAGATCGAGCACACGCCGCTTCCATCTGGTTCTCCATGTGTTAAAGGATTAAGACATGAGTTTCCTGAGCAAATACTGTCAGACAACCCCTCCTCACGGGGCAGCAGGGAAAAGGAAAGGGAAGGAAATCCTGGGAAAGTAAAAAAGTTTTGCAGATGTGCCTGTGACAAGGTGCTCTCACATACATGGCACACCCAAGCCCCTGGCAAGGTGGTTCTTGTTCTGGCTTCACAGAAATGAGCCAATTCAGCCACAGGCAGTAGCCTCCACACAGGTATTACGTGCTCYACAGTCTCCCAAGCTACTCCCAGTCTCTCCCACCCTGCTGGTTATGCACATCATAAAAGCCAGTTGCAGGCATTTTGAGGAGAGCCAAGTGTAAGATACTCTATGTTCTCCTTGCTTTTTTTTTTCTTTTGAAGAAATAAACCAACCTATTTTTCTAAAGTAAAACACTGCAAAGGCCACAGTCAATAAAGGAGTCCCCATACAGTCTATCAGAAAGCCTGATCTGCAAAAAAAAACCCCAAACACTGAGTTCAGAGAAGGGAAAACACTACCTACTTCYCATCCTTTAAGGGCAGGGGGCATAATCCTGTCATGTGCCATGTGTCCAGTTTCTTTAAAACCCCACCTGGCACATTACATGGACYAAAAAGGATCCAGGAGGCTACCACGTGCTTGTAAGAAAGGTACAGGAAACTGCAGGTGTCACTTGGAGGGGGAGTCACCACTTTGGACCCTCCCTCACCAGGGTGCTCCCTTGATCCCAAGTGGACTATCCACTGCTGCTGAAGCTGGAAGAGGATGGACCCTCCTGCCCTGTCCCCAGCATCCTTGTTGAAGGTGGCTGCTCCCTCCCACCAGCTTGTGGTGGGCACCAGCCAGTCCACACCTGCAGTGGGAAGGGCTGGGAAAGGCCAGAAGGGACAGGAGGGGCTGTCACAGCCCCCCTCAGAAGACTGTGCAGGCTGGCAATGAAAGGCACTGACTTACACACAGCTGGAACCTGGGCCTTTTTCCTTAAGACATCCATATGTAGGGCAGGCCAGATCCTGCCTGATACGAGATATTTGCATGGCAAARGACTGAGCAGAATGAATTGATCATTTACATTCACGTGGATCTCCAGGGACCTGGCTGAAGGCAGGTGGCTGCCAGCCTTGCAGCTGGCTCCAGTCACTCCATGCTCTGTGCTGGCAATTGGACTAAAGACACCAATTTAGGCTCTAAGTTAAAAACAAACCTTCCCAACTCAGGTGACACTAAATTCACAAGTGAAAGCTGCACTGGTGGACAAAGGCAGCCTTACAAACACAACTGCATGTCACAGGAGCAGATCCCAGCGCTGAGCAGAAACTCCCACAGTACAGCAAGGCCAAGAAAGGCAGGCAGATTTTCAACATTCAGGCATTGTTTGGTATTTCTTAGCTACAGCTGAAGGCGTACGGTGGTGRAGGACTCACTGCAGTGTTTCCAGAGCACAGCAAGTGAATGTGGCAGAGGTCAGCCTTTCCTGGCTCCTCTCCTGAAGGAGAGAAGTGTTTTTGCCAGTCTTTTCTCCAGCTGGCTAGAGAGGGAGGGACACATTCCTGCCTGCACCCCTTTCCCCTCAAAGAGGCTGTCAGATGCAGGGAGGGTCTGTGATTTATCTGAGAAGGAGCCAGCTACTTATTGACCCTGTCCCAGTGCAAACACACAGCCCGTGCAGGTGCAGAAGGAAGCAGCAGAGCCTGCAGAAGCACATTCAGAAAGCCAGACAGAAGGGGACAGAAACAGGAAGCCTTGGGAGTGCCTGAGAAACATGCGGACAAGCAGGACAGAGGGAAGCAGGTGAGAGATAACAGGGAGCTGTGACATGAARAACAATTTCACTAACAAGCACTGATAAAAAAAAACCAAAAAAAACCCCAAAAAACTGAAGAGCTGCAAATGGGGTGATGCAGTTCAAGACAAGCAACTTCACAAAGACTGAAACCATCCCATTATGCCCATACAGGTCTGGCACTGACAGAACAGGCACATGGAGAGGAGGAGAAGAATAAAGAATAACWGCCCCCTCAAGCCCCCCACCCTTTGATATAATCCTGTCCTCTCCGAGCAAGCAGGGACTGTGGCACTCCATACCAGGAGGTTTCTGTAAGGGAGRGGTGAGCAATGAGCCCTCAGGAGCAGCCACAGGTGGCAAAAGCAGAGACACAAGGGCACAGGCGTGCGTGGTGTAAGGCAGAGCTCCAACAACAACTCTGATGCTGCAGCCATGCAGAGAGAGAGCGTGAGAGATTTACAGGATGCCTGGAAAGARGGGGAAAGAAAAAAATCTGTTCTGTCTCCAAGGCTGAGCTAACTGAGCCAAGTCACCCTGTTGCCTCTTAAGATACTTCTTCCTAGATAAGATATCCCAACTCCCCCCTCCCCTTTCCAAATAAAGTGCAGATGGTCAAATATTACTGGTCCAACATCTGCCAGTTTCAGTCAGCATTGGGGAAATTAAACCCAAAAGCACGATATTGAAAAAAAAAAAAAAATAAAAATCTCCCAACAACCCACCCTCAAAATCCCTTAGACTGAAGTCTCAGACTGTAAGCGGAGGACAAATTTATGAGATTTAGGGTCTATGAACTCTTCTGAGAGTTTGATGAAGGGGATTTTTTTCACATTAACAACAAGGCTGAAGTCCAAGCACTTGAGGACAAACACCACGCCGTCTTGTAACCCGCTTGTGACCGCTTCCTCGCTGACCAGTGTCCACTGCTTGGAGAACCARCGATCCCTGTCATACTGGAGGGTTGGGCCTGGGTTGAGGTAACGCTCCAGGAATGCCTGCCAAGAGTGGGACACACGTTAGCACCAGCCCCACAACTCACCCTGCTCCCTTCCCATCCCCAAATAGGGCTCCACGAGCACGGGCTTGCCATCTTGCCATGCTGCAAATGGTTTCAGCTTTCACACTCCAGAAGACATCATCTTCCCAGCCCCTCCCTGCTTTTCAGACCCCAGGAGTAGACACAAACATCAGGAGATYCTCTTTCAGTCCATCCCAGCAAGCTTACAAAGTTGCAGCCCTGACTTCTGCCATCAGCACAGCCATCTGGCAGCAGTTCTGCAGAACAGAGGTCATTTCTTCCCCACCAGCCCCACAACCCATCCCAAAATTGCAGTCCCAGTCAGTCAGACAGGATGGTTTGTTCTCTCCTTCAGGCCAAGAGAAGGTGGTAAACAGATATTGCCATGTTTTCAGCCTGAAGCTGCAAAATGCCATTTGACATCACTTGTGTTTTAAAGTCTCCTCTGCAATCTTAATGGCAACAGAAATTCTCTTGAATGCCTGGGCAAGGTCCCAGGTGGCTCACAGTGAGAGGGTACGAAGCCCCGGCTTTTGACAGCATTTCTGTTCTTACTGCAGTAAGTTCTGGGGGAATGCCGAGGCAAAACCCTTCCCTAAGACTGTGGGGTGCTCTTGGAGGGGAAGGTGAAGAGTGGGAAGGCAATTGTGTGACCTGATTCCCTTATTATTCAGTCCCTCTCTGTGTCTGCACGTCAACAGCCATGGTACAGGCATGAAGTAGCAAACTGATGTTTGACCAAGCAGCACATGAATTAGAAACACTGTCAGAGAGACAGAGATTTAGGGAATAATTAGTGGTCCAAAACRCAGCAAGGTAGAGGGGGCAGAAAAMCAAAACASATCTTTTGCAGGCTGGCACCTGCATCATGTTACTACCACGAGCCAGCTGGGAAAACTCCCCATGACTCAAAACCACCATTTMAAACGTTTATTTAGTATTCCCTTTGCTGAACTGGATATAAGAATAACTATGTCATAGGCACTTTCAGATGGAAAGAGACAGAGGATGGAGCAGAGGAAATATCAGTTCCCTTTGAGACCTGATGCCACCTACACTGCACTGGCCAATTCCCAGGGTGCAACTATGAAAGCCTTCACTCACCCTCCYCTGACAACTTTCTGTTCTGCTTGCACACACAGATGTGCCACCCCCTTGTCCTCCCTGCTGCAGCAGCCTTAGAGAAAGCGTTACCTTTGGTGTCATGTTGTTGGTGATGCAGAAGGACAAGTGTTGCAAGATGCTCTCCATGCTGTGGTACTGCTGCTGGCGTGTGGTGCGAAGGTATTTCTGCAGAGCTCGTGCCATGGAGGGGAAGATTGCCTGGGCTGCTTCTCGGGGGTCCATCATCTCTCCTGGAGCTTTCTGCTGCTCCTCTGCCTGGAGGCGTTTGATGTGAGTGAAAGCCTCTTCTACTGCAACCACAAGCCTAATGAAGGAAAATCAGGACAGTAAGAGTCATAACAWGAAGTAGGATGGGTCTGTGGTTAAGGCAGGGCCTGGGAGTCAGGATTTACAAGCCTCCTGTTCCCATCTGCCATTGAGTCACTGCCTACCACCAATTTACACAAAATCTCTGCTGAGAGTCTGCTGGGGGGTAGACAGCAGCTTTTCCTTCCTTGCTCAAGCCATCCAGCAACTGAAGGCCACAAACCAGGATTAGGATTGTAAAGCCCTGAGCAGTGAACTTGGTTCTGCCAGCRCAGCATAAACATCAGCAACAAGACTCAAACAAGGCTCAAACAAGACTGCCCTCGTGCTCAGTGTGTGTCTGAGTACAACAGGACTGCAGCACGGAGCACAGGCAAGCACTCAGGGTGAGGTTGGCCACACTCCAGCATGACCCAGGATACAGCCTGCTCCAAGATTCTGTGCTCACAAGCTGCACTCTGCTCCCGTTTCCACCAGCTGGGTGCAGAGCTCGTGCTGCCCAGTGATTGCCCTGCACCCCTCCACCAAACTGCAAGGGTGAAAACACCCCTCCATCTTCACTCCTAACACTGCAGCTAAAGACATCCTGTGCAAACCATTCCTGTGTTGGCACAGGTGAGCAAACACCAAGACCACACATAAAAAGTGATGTCTTACAACACTCAGTACTGGGCTAACTTGCAAGTGAGGGGCTATACTGCAGTTAGGGAGGAAAAAAAAAATAATGGAAGAGCCACCCAACAGAACTCTTTTGCCTCTATAGAAAAGCCTTGTTTCACACTTGATTTCCCCCCAAATCACCCATGATTGTCCACAATGCAATATCCACTGCATCTACCATAAGCAGAGGTATAGCATACTGCATTCATATTGTACATGAGGAACAGCACGACAAGCCCTGCCCCTTGCCCATTTTGTTTAATTTGACATAGGGGAGGTGGGGGTGGAAGTCAGTTTCTAAACTTCTGGCCTGAGACATCTGGCCTTATCTAGGGACTGATGGTTTCCCTATGACTAAGCAGCTGTTCTGACCAAACTCAGCAAGCACGGGAGATGTGTCCAAGTTAGGATGCTACACTTCACAGAAGGGAAAGTTTAAGTTCCTATTGCCCTGAGGCTASAAGAGAGCCTAAAAGACAGAGGGTGTAGAGCATAGGTCAGACTGAAGCAGGCAACAAGGGGATGTTGTGCCAGCACTTTCCCMCTGAAATAAACTGCCAAAAGAAAACTCAAAACAAGCAAGCTCCTTCCAGTTATGACACATTCCTTCCAAACACRGCCCAGTTCAGGGGTGCCTGCCCATCAGCAACTTGCCTCAAACTGTTAGGTATGCTAACTACAGACTGCAATTAGGCTCCTGAGTAGAGGCACTGTCTCGGATCACCTCAACAAAGCATCAGCTCTGCAGCCTAAGCATGTATGGCAGAAGATATATCCGTGCTCTAAAATAAAATGTAAYCATTTGCGCTCAAGTCTTTCCTCCTCAATTCATTGAAAGGCAGTCAAACCRCCCCTTTTATTAGTCTGCAAACAAATATTCTCCTCGCCCACGAAAGAGCAGCACCAAGCCTTAAACTGATCCTGTCCCTGGATTACTTCAGCTGACAAGCCTGGGCATGGGCAAAAATAATGGGATTTCCTACAGCAAGTAACTACAGACTTGTCAAGCASTGGACTGCTCCCTAATCCACACCATTGCATTAGCTTATCTGCTTTATGTACAGGAGCTCAGCTGCGCGCACGTGCTTTGGATAATTCCAGTTGCAAGCTGTCACCATCCCCTATGCATCTGGGCTCCACAAGCTTCTTCCTTGTGACACATTTACAGCCCTTGGGGCGGGCTGGGGGGCACTGGCCAGGCTGGGGRGCACCGGGMAGGCTGGGCAAACCCCACGGGCGGAGCAGCAGCAGCCAGGACGGTTGGGTTTTACCTCGCCCGGCGTTTCTTCACGCGGCGCTCGTGGTCAGCCTCCTCGTAGTAGAGCTCGTTGTGGCTGGAGTCCCTGCGCCGAGCGGCGGCCGCGATCATGGCCCTGGACTGCCCTGCTGCGTTATTCCCTGGGCCTGCGGGGTGAGGATGGCACAGGGGAGAAAAAGGTGCTGTTATTGTCACAGGGCAGGGGCTGGGACATGCTGGCACCCCGTGGCATCTGTCACACGTGCTCCGGGGCTCCAGCCTTCCCAGCCAAAGCTACAAACCCTTCCCCGGTCATCAGGAGCGCTGGTAGAAACCCTGCAAGGCAGCACAGCTTAGAGAGGGCGTTCTGGCACGTGGACRAGGGAAGTTAGTCGGGATGGAGGGTCCATACACAAAGGCAGAGTGAGGTGAACATGCCAAGGATGCAACTTACCCCCCAGTATATATGCTTTCAGTTTGAAGGCAAGGGCAGCTGGAACAAACCACATTTCAGCATCAAGACAGTGTGAGAGCACAAAAAGTGAGAAGTTGGAAAGAGAGAGACAAACACAAGAACATAATGAGACGTGGAGATGAATAGATGAAAGCCAAACTCCAGACAGTTATTCACAGGAAGGAAACACAGGATGCAGGGGCAGCAGGGTCACTTTTAGACAAAGCACAGGGTTTCCCAGAAGGGCGGATGCTGTCAGAGCAGCAGCCCACAGCAGGCTAGGCTGGGATCTCTATGTGTAGTAGCCTCTCATGGCACTCTGAGCAGCACCTGCCATTAAAGCTTCTGCTGCTGTTAACAGATCCTAACAGCCACAGGAACAGGGAAGCTGCAATCTGTTCTGTAGCACCCAGCCAGTCGACAGAGTTGCTTACTTCAAGACCTTAAAATACAGCATCAGGTTCTGCAAACCTCCCATGAAGCCCTCAACTCCAGCTTTCAGGTAGGAAGAGGAAAAAAGGTTGCCCCAGAAGAGTTTACAAATCYTTCTATCYAGACAGAGGGCAGAGGTGTGTCCAYCCAGAGAGAAGTGGTAGTCTARGACTGCCTGCAAGCCACCAAGAGCTACTTTTGTGCCAAACTGCTCTGAAAGCCCACACTCTCAGCTGGCAGTGGTTAAGGCAAATCAATTGCTAAGACACACTCAAATTGTCCTGCTCAAGCAAGGGCAACTCTAATTTTTTTCCTAAAAGCCCAGACCAGATTCCAAGACAGAAGCCTGAAACTCAGCAGTGGGAAGAATGAGCATTCATAAATAGCTTCTTAAGAGTCTGAACATCTCAGACTTTGTTTGACACCCTGAAATGGAGGATATTACTCAAGGGAGGCACCAGCTCTTAAATTTGGGTTACATCTGTCATTTGCCTCATTGACTATGCCTGGCAATGAAAATCCTGGTTTTGAAGGTGAACCTCCCCACTCTGCATAAGAGAGATTACAGCAATATGTTTTTCTTTCCTGGCTGCCACAGTATCAAATACAAAAGCTGTCAACAAATTAGGCTGCCTTAATAGCATTACTGTCTTTGTACAAGAAGGGTATAAGAGACTGTCAGGCTGCCAGGGTAAGCTGCAGCCAGAACTACACTCTGCTTTGTAAAATGGACAAAATCTTCTTAAGGACATGCCTCTAAGCCCGAGATTTCCACATCCACAAAGGCAGCAGSATTGCACAAGGAACAGCCCAGGCAACTGGTACTGCCCCAGAAGGGAGGGCAGAAGTTTCCAGGTCCTGGCAGGCTCACAAGACAGACACTTGGAAAGCCCTGCCAGCCACATCCGCAGCTTGCTTCTGGTTCCTTCTAATGAAGTCTCATGAGCTAGCAGCTTCTAAGCCACACCACCAGACTGACAATCCTTCCTCTGAGCTTGGGAGTGCCCCTGTCCCAGCAGGTGCTGCAGGAAAAGGGAGCATGCCAACTCCTGAAGAGCTACTGCAATGCAGGAGGAGACAGGSCAGCTAGAAACCAGAACAGCACTTCCTGCAGCCAGCCTGGCAGGCTGTGGGGTTTGAATGGTGTGCAGTCACCTGTGGGATGGGGAACCCCTCAGCTGCCATACCCCTCACTGAGAGTGAGCAGCTGGAACAAATGATTTCACCTCTAGAAGAAATCAGAGCATTTCTGTTTAAATGTCTGTTTGCTTCCTCTRCAACACAACTCAACCAAGAGTATCACTCCAGGTGGCAAAGGACACATGATGGGCAACCTGTCCTTCCCCTTCCCTCACCTGCCCCTTCCTCTGYCAGGATGGGAATATCTCACTGTAATGATCTAAACCTCAAATTAATTTTATGGAGTCAGGAGTGCTGCATGAAGTTGGCAGAAACCTTTTAGGATAAGGTCTTTGAAACTGACTATAAAATAAAAAAAATTCAAACAAATAAAAAAGTAACATGAAAACAAAACACCCCACACCCATATGGCATTGAAATRTTGTTGAAAACAAAACAATCGTGTCTCATGCTTTTTCCATATAACAGATATTCTTCATATTTCAGTTTCCACACTATGTACATAGAACCACCCTGTCCAGCTAAGTCCCTTAAGTCCCTTCTCTCAGAGCCTTTCTGTACAAACAGATTCACTGGCAGGACATGCCTTTAACACATTTTGTTACAGAACTTCAGCCATCCTTTGCCATAAAAGCTTTGCCACACAAGCTTTGCTTCTTCCAAAGGAAGGTGCACTTTTATAAAGGCTGCCGAGCACACCCTGCTTATCAATCCAGGCTTTCATTGACAGACTTTGAGAGTATAAAATTCTTAAGTCCAGTTTTCACTGGTTTGAGAATCCATCCCTTCATCCATCCATCCATCCATCCATCCATCCATCCATCCATCCATCCATCCATCCATCCATCCATCCATCCATCCATCCATCCATCCATCCATCCTCACAAAGGCTTTTTTAAAGCCCCAAAGCTTGAAAACGGTTTGTAGAATGGCAAAGCTCAACGGGGATCATTATTTTTGTGTGAGTTTCCATGGCCATGGGTGAGCCAGGCACAGCTCATTTAGTGCTGAGGCTGCAGGCTGATGAGCACCACTTTGATCAGCAGCTGCTGCTTACACCGTGGCTCCTCCACTTTTCTGAAGGCTCTATGTGAAAGCAGCACAATAAATGACTGGGGAACTCATTTATGTTAAATGTTGTGCTTATTGTACTATCACAACTGAGGAGATGACCCAAGGGTGACAAAAAGCAGATGTTGCTTAAACTAGCAGCAGTGCTGAAARGTGCTTGTCCAGTCACATGACAATTAAGCCCGACCCCAAAACGTGGCCATTTCACCTGGCAAAGACAAAAGCCTTATTATGGGCTAAACATATCTGTAAAGTCATCTAGAACTGGCAAACTCAYGACTGTTAGGAAGATTTCCAGCAAAAGACAAGGATTTGGCAAAGCAAAAAGGTGAGAATGTGTGGACAACAAAGCATAAAGCCAAGCCAGCCCTTCCCCATCCCACCCAGTCTCAGAGACTACATTTCACCTCACCTACCATCAACATTGTAGACTTTCAGGCCAGCCATGTGCTTGGCTGCTCGAGATTTGGAGGCTGTTAACAAGGCTGGGTTGTAGACTGTGAAATCTCGGTAGTAATTTTCCAGAACCACCAGGGCAGCTCGCTGGATGCTGGGGAAAGAAGAAAAAACAAAACAAGACAAACTCCATCAGACTGAAACAAGCTCTCTTGTTTCCATAAAATATTAATTAATAAAAAAGAAAGAATAGTGATATTATTTGGAACAGGGTTGTCACGCCTACAGAACTGTGCAATATGTGGAATATTAATTACTCTCTCTAGAACCTGAAATTTCATTTGAGATGCAAGTTAAGTGTCTCTGCCCTCAGCTCAATAGGAGGATGACAGGAAATCCCTAAACAGGGGCAGCACTAAGTGAAGCACTAGGCTGCCTGCAGCATGGGAAATTACAGAAGAGCTCAGCCCATCTCGGCAGTACAATCCCTGTGCTGCAGAGACCTTTCTCAAACAGAAGATCACAACAC